GGGGGGTTTTTAGAACAGGCCTGTTATTTAATTCGATTTTAAAACAAACTATTTATTTATTATCGTGGTTTTTAGTATTGCCTGTTCACCGCCCTGAGTCCCGCAAGGGAGATAGGGCGGTATATAAATTTAATAAATAAAATAAAAAATAAAAATAAATAAAATTCACGTCAAAGTTTTGGAGGGAATTCCTGGGTTTGATAGGCTCCTTCCAGGGACTTAGCTCCGCCCATCATCCTCAAATGAACAGGGCTTGTGAAAGCGCGAACTCAGTCCTAGAGCAATACCTGCTATGTTATGTGAATTATCAACAAACCAATTGGACTGAGCTTCTGCTGTTCATAGAAGTGGCCTATAATTACTCAGTGCATAGTAGCACCGAATTTACCCCTTTCTGAGTGGCCACTGTGTTAGAATTCGTGCCTATGCCAGAACTCCCTCAGGAGAGACTCTCATCAGCCTCACTGGCCGAGTGGCTGGATACTTTCAAAGCCACATGGGTCACAGTGCATAAGGCGCTAGAAAAAGCGAGGGAAGCGCAGAAGAGACAAGCAGACAGGAAGAAGGCATCTCCAAGGGAGTTCAGAGTAGGAGACAAGAATGTACATGTCCACAAAGTTTTTGAACTTGAGGCAACCCTGCAAAAAGCTGGGACCCAAGTACATAGGACCTTTCCCAACTGTCCGGATCATAAATCCGGTGACAGTGGAATTGGAGCTGCCTAAAAGCCTCAGGCACATCCATCAAGTGTTTCATTGTAGTCTGTTGAAACCTTTCCGTAGCTCGGTGTTAAGACCTGCTATGAAGCCACCTCCCCCTCCCATCCTAGTGAAGGGAGAGGAACATTTTGAGATCAAGGAAATCCTCGACTCCAGGCACTACAAAAGGAAGTTGCAGTATCTAGTATTATGGAAGGGATACCCTTTAGCAGATGCAGAATGGGTGGTGGCAGAAGATGTTAGGGCATCTAGACTTATTCGCAAGTTCCATGCCAAACATCCCACCTGGCCCCGGTAGGATGTTGAAACAGAAAAGTCTATGTAATGTAACCTCATGTATGTTTGCTCTTTTGTAGGACTAATCTTTCTTCTGGAGGGTCGGGCATGTCAAGGCCGACTCACTTTGCACTTTTGCTCGCAGCCAGACAACAGAAACCAGGGATGGGGGAGGAATGATCAGAATGTATGGATGGCTGAGAGGGAATTGAGGAATTCATGTGCACCGTCTGTGGCCTGGGAGAATCTCGACACCTCAAGGTCGAATGATGAGAGCCTTCTGAGCTGAGCAGATTGTTTCCCAAAACAAAGAGATTGCATTGGATTGGGGGACACTGGACAATGGGTAGCCCAGTGGGAAAAAGGGGGATTTTAACTATGCAGTTTTTTGTGCAAAAAGTCAGAACTGGCTTTGCTTTCTACTGTGCGTATATGGATCTATCAGTAAAGTTATACTCTTGGTAAAATAATGTCCCAGGAGTTTCTTTTGCTGCATGTGCGAATGGGACGGTTGACATCCAGCCCACCTTGAATTTCATTTACTCTTATCTACCGTCAATTTGCTTTGACTATTAGTAGTTCAGATTCTTGCACAGAGCTTAACCTTGCAATAAACCTTTATATTCTAAATATACAAACCTAAATACAATCATTCCTCAGCATCTAGTAGAGAAACTGGGCCTTTTAGGCTTTAATACACCTTTGTGTAACTGGATTCTTGATTTTCTTATTGATAGGCCCCAGTATGTGCGAGTTGGGACTAATATTTCTAACACCATTTTCTTGAGTACAGGTTCTCTTCAGGGCTGTGTCCTAAGCCCGCTGTTGTTCACCCTGTTGACCCATGACTGTTGTGCCAGGTTTGCCACCAACCATATTGTGAAGTATGCGGATTATACAACAGTAGTGGGCTTTATTCAAGATGACAATGAGGGTGCTTACCGCAAGGAAGTAGAGGGTTTGGTGAACTGGTGTAACAAAAACAGTCTCATTTTAAACGTAGGAAAAACCAAAGAGATCATTGTTGATTTCAGAAAAGACAGGCACAGCCACACACCTCTGTGTATTAATGATTGACCTGTGGAGGTGGTTAGCAGCATCAAGTTTCTGGGTGTGCAGCTAACGAGTAGACTAGCTTGGTCGCTCAACCGTGAGACACTGGTAAACGGGTACAACAGCGCCTGCACTTTCTGCATCACAATGTAAAGTACATCTTCCTTCTCCTGTCCTTACCACTTTCTACAGAGGGACGATCGAGAGCATCCTGTCATATTGCATTGCCGTCTGGTTTGGATGCATTACTGCCTCAGACAGGAAGGCAGTGCAGAGAGTGGTGAGGATGGCAGAAAATATTATTGGTAGTTCACTTCCTTTTATCCAGGACATAGCATATAAGTGATGCTTAAGCAAGGTCCGCAAGATTGTCTGGGACGCTACACATCCTCTTCACGATCTATTTTCCTTGTTACCTTCTGGAGGGAAGCTTTGTGGTAGCCAAAGCAGAACATCCAGATTCAGTCAGTTTTGTTCCATATAGCATCAACCTAGTGAACTCTCGTTTCCTCTTTCCGCTATGTATTCAAAATGGACAGTGATTAATATTTATATCTATATATATGTATGGGTGTAGGGAGATATATCACGTGCATATGTGTGTTATGTATGTGTATGAGTAGATATATACTTTCTTTTGAGAGCAGGCAACAGAATTTCATTTTTAATATGGCCCAGTGTGCTCATAGTAAGAAATGACAATAAAGGTTATTCATTGGAACTGCCTGGATTTCCTGATTTCCCCAGCATTTGACAGTTTGTACTTAGTGTCCGATGCATCTCACTGCAGTGTACAACAGTAGTCACCCAGCATTGATTGCTTCCAGTTAGCCTGATACCGTTTTTCCATTATGGCAATGTCCTGGTGAAAACTTTCACCATGCTTGTCACTGACTCCACCTAGATTTTGGGGAAAGAGGTCCAAGTGTAAATGCAGAAAATTCTTTCCACGTTAAGCTCTGGGGAAACTACACCAGCTGGAGCTGGGCGAGGAAGGCCAGGCTCTCCTTCCCCGATGGTTTTGCAAAGCCCTTGAGGTTTTGTGTGGAGGAGAGAACCGCTTCCCGCAGGGTTGGCCTCGGCACCCACTTTGGACGGCAAACAGAAGAGCTTTGCTCTTTTTCTCCAGGGCCTTTGAAATTCCCCCCCCCCTCGCTTTTCTGCCTTAAAATCCAGAGCAGACACGTTTTCGTCCTGATCAGCTGAGGATACAGTAGCTACCATATGATTTTTTTAAGAAACTGAGTGTACCGGTATGTGTGAGTCCAGCCCCCTCAGGACAGGCTGGGATGGTCCAGCCCTGTAGGGGCTGGGGAAGGGGAGCCTGGCCTTCCTCACCCCACTCCAGCTGGTGTAGTTTTCCCGGAGCTTAGCTTCCTTCCATACGAAGGAGGAACACAACGCCGGGAGAAGCAGCAGAAAACAGGGCTGCCATTTCCAGAACAGAGAAGGGAGACGCGGGCCGATGCAGGGCGGCGAGAAAGTGCGGACCAGCGATTGCGGAAGGAAGGAAGGAAGGAAAGAAGGAAAGAAGGAAAGAAGGAAGGAAGGAAGGCCTCTCTTAAGGCCCCAAAAGTCAGCATGCACCTGCCTACCTCAGTGACAATGACTGAGATTGACATCGTGGCCAGGCTCTAGGTTCCTGGCAGAGAAGTTGAGCAGGGCCTCGAGGCAGTAGTGGCTGCACTGGCTCCGCACCTGCCGCCCACCGCACTTCTCCAGGGGGATGCTGGCTTTGAACCATGCTGTGCTCAGGTTGGCATTAGCGGGCACCCGGCACCAATGCTTGAGAGTGGCGTCCAAGAAGACAGCCCTGAGGGAAGTGGGTGCGGGGCGCGTGGGGCAGCTCCCCCTCACCTCGTGATGGTGACACAGGTACGACGCACCACGTGGCCTACTGCAAGCTGCCGCAGAAGTGGGCTGACAGCCACCTGGGCTTCTGCTGTATGGGGCTGTTGGTGCTGCCGCCACAAGGCGAGGCAGGTGTCGGGAAAAAAAATAAGACATCCCCCAAAAATAAGACCTAATGCCTCTTTTAGAGGCAAAAAAAAAAAATTATAAGACCGGGTCTTATTTTCAGGGAAACACGGTATTTGCCATCAGTGTGAATGTGATTGGTTAATTCTAAACACAGCCACATCCCTACTTATAAGAGGATGTGCACACTTATGCATCCACATTATTGTAATTTTTTATTGTTATTTTCCCCCTAAAAGATTTCAGTTTGTTTTTCAATTGAATTGTACAGCTTATATGTTATATTAAAGGTGGGAAAAAAGCTGAAGTGATTTATCTTGGTCTGATTTTTTTACATCTCAAAAACCTGGCATTTTAACAGGGATGTGTAGACTTGTTATATCCACTGTATGTATAAGTTATGCTCATCAATTATCATATTAACAGACATAATGGAACATTAAAACTTTAATTTACTTGTTTCCTATGTTATTTCAAAAAGTGCATCTGTGATTACATTCAAAGGCATATAGCAAACAGTGGTGAAGATTATGAAAGTGATATGAATAAGGCTCCTAAATGCACTTGCTGTGGTCAGACACCCATATTGTTGACGATAACTCACTGATGAATTGAAGGTATGATGCAGGCTTGCTCAACCCTTGACCTGCCAACTCTGAAGGTCATTTTCCTGGCACTAGCAAGATTCCTAATTACACTGTATATGATAGGCAAGCATTTCTTATTAGCAGTAGAACATGCTTATATTTGTAAGGTATTTTTGCATTTGCAGTTTTATAAATATTATGGAGGGTATTTTTCTTTCAGTAAGTAGTACATCTCATTTCCTGATTTCATGCAAACCTTTATTTAAAAGAGAACAGAAGTCACAAAAACACTAAGTTACATGCAGATTTATAAAAAATGGTAGATCAAGTAAATCACCAGTATTCTTTTCTGCTTCTGGAGAAAGCAGAACAATATAAAAATACATACTTGATTAGGTTCTGGAAAGCATAGCCATCTGTCCATTGTTCTGTGTAAGAGGCCCCATGCCGGACTGTAGCAAAGTGACCTAATCGCAACCGATCCTGCATACTCTTATCTCGGCAAGCCATCTTTTCCTGTTTTGACTGGAAAGGAAAACATAAAGAATCTGAATGCTTTAGAACATATCCCTATTTACTTATTTAAATTATCTTTATGGCCACCCATCTTAAAAATGCAATTCTAGGCAGCTCACAACATTGTAATGTTTTATTTATTTGTATCCCGCTTTTATTATTTTTACAAATAACTCAAGGCTGCCAACATATTCAACATACCTTCCTTCTCCTATTTTCCCCACAACAACCCTGTGAGTTGGGCTGAAAGTGACTGACCCAAGGTCACCCAACTGACTTTCATGGCTAAGGCAGGACTAGAACTCACAGTCTCCTGCTTTCTAGCCTGGTGCCTTAACCACTAGACCAGGGGTAGGCAACCTTGGCTCTTTTATGACTCCTGGACTTCAACTCCTGGAATTCCTGAGGCAGCCATGCTGGCTCAGGAATTCTGGGAGTTGAAGTCCACGAGTCATAAAAGAGCCAAGGTTGCCTACCCCTGCACTAGACCAAACTGGTCTCTAATGTTACTCAACCAATCAAAACTGATACCAACATAAACAAAGCAGAGTTGATTCCCAGAGGGCTGGCAGTTTTAGACTTCCATGTAAAAAATATACAGGTTGTCCTTGCTTACCAACCACTTGTTCAACAGTTGTTCAAATTTATGGTGGCATTAAAAAAAATAACTTGTGACTTGTTGCAGTGTCCCCATAGTCATGTGATCCCGATTTGGCCACCTGACAACTAGCACACATTTATGGCAGTCACAGTGTCCCGCTGTCATGTCATTGCCATTTGCGACCTTCACAGCTTCCAACAAGCAAAGTCAATGGGGAGGCTGGCAGGAAGTTGCAAGTCATGGTCATGTGACATTGTACTTAACAACCCACAGGGATTTGTTTAACAATCACAGCCGGAACTGATGAACTGACTTTGTAGGTTGGGTGTGGTCACATGACTTTTCACTTTACCACATCACTTAGTGACAGAATTGCTGATTCCAGTTGTGGTTGGTTAAGTGAGGACTACCTGTATACTATAACTGGCTCCCTGTAAGAAAGAGGAAAGGATACATGCAAGCTATTAGTTTTCCTGTAACATATTCCCAGAACTCTTAATCTCTCAAACACATCCATAAGAAATTTATCAGGGTACCGAATAGTAGAAAATATCCTTCACCAATCCATACTGCTTCCTGAAGAAATACAGGTCATTTGGATGGTAGGTCAACCAGTTCTTTTTATATTACAAATGTCATACCTATACATATTTTGATGGGGAATATTTGTTCTGAAAGCTTATTTAACTAGCAAAATCTGGAATTGAGTATGTTTTGAAGAAACACAATTTTTCAATTGTTCAATAAACTTGTTTGCAAACTGCTGATTCTTGCTTACAATAAAAGTACTATTTCCCAGATTTTTTAAAACAGGTCATAATATATTAAGACTTTAGATTAAAAGTCAATAGTTTGACTTTTAATTAGTTCAATAAACTACACAGGTAGTTCTCAACTTATGACAATTGAGCCCAACATTTCTGTTGCTAAGTGAGACATTTGTTAAGTGAGCTTTGCCCCATCTTACGACCTTTCTTGCTACTGTTGTTAAGTGTATCACTGCAGTGTTAAGTGAATCACACGGTTAAGTGAAGTTGGCTTCCCCATTGACTTCGCTTGTCAGAAGGTCGCAAAAGGGGATCACTTGACCCTAGGACAGTGCAAACATCATAACTATGAACCAGTTGCGAAGTGTCTGAATTTTGATCAGGTGACCATGGGGATGATGCTGCAATGGTTGTAAGTGTGAAAAATGGTCATAAGTCACTTTTTCAGTGATGTTGTAACTTTGAACAGTCACTAAATGAACTGTTGTAAGTCGAGGATTACCTGTATCTCTTGTACTTAATGTTACCATTAATTCTAAATAACGAATGTATCTCCTCCGTTAAACAGCATAATTGTTTTAGAGTCTGACATTTCCTCAATCATAGTTACAACATGTTTCCAATATTGATCCAATATTGTTTTATTATTAGAAAAGGAACAAAGATTTTAGACACAAGATTGAAAACCATAGTTGGCATACTTTCCCTCATTCCCTCTTCTCCACTGTGTATAATGACAACCATCACTTTGAGTTTTAGGAGAGTGTATGTGTGTCTCTCTAAATTTTAAGGTAAATTGTTCATATTGTAATACAGAAGTTAATGGTAAGAGAGCAGAAATGAGACATATAAGTTTGAAGACTTATTTGTAAAAATAATAAAGGTGGGATGCAAATATATAAATATATCAGATTTTTTAGAAATGTACTACAGTTCTGTGTTACCCTTTCTTTGGAAGAATGTACTTGACTATCTTTCTCAGCCTACAACATTTTATTTGAGTTGTATTAATCTGCAGTCTCCCAAAGGTAGCATGCCTGGTCCAACTCTGCTTTATTTTAAACATTTATTATTAATACTTGGACTTGGGCATTTGAAGGATACCAGCTACCCTAGGAACAGATTATCTTCTTAAATAAACTGCTTTAAATGGTCATACTCCTGTTACTTTACTGTTGAATTTTATGGGAATTCGTTTTATTATTAATTATATTGTGCTTTGTACAGTGTTATGGACTCCTGAGGAAGAACATAAAGTGATATTATGATGTACATACAGGTACTCCTTGACTTACGACTGGTTACTTAGCAACCATTTGAAGTTATAACGGGCCTTCCTGGGGGTACTTACAACCTGGTTCCAAAGTTCCAACAGCGCCCCCCCCACCCCCCAGTCACATAACTGCATGTCGGGCACTTGGCAACTGGTCTGAATTTATAGCCATTTGTATTGTCCTGTGGTCACATGATGTTTTAAAACTTTTTCCCCCAAAAAATCGACTTTTACTTCTGGCCCATGGTGAACCATTGGTTTGATTAACAACCGGCGCAAAAAGGTCGTAAGGACAGGCTCCATTAAATATTTTAAATAACAAAAAATGTAACTCACTAATTTTTTCAGTGCAACAATATTTATTTTTATTTATCATATTTAAAAAACACCCATCTCCCTCAGAGAGGGACTCTGGGTGTACAATAAAATATTAAAGGCATAAAAACAGTATATAAAATTTAAAAAGAGGAAAGGAATGTTAAAATTAAGGTGGGGAAGGGCTTTCAAGGCACCAACTAACCCAACGGTTTTGTGCTCATGTGCACACCCTAAGCAAGGGCACAAAGCCATGGTTTTACACCTTTCCTGAATGCCAGGAGAGTGGGGGCCTGACTCACCTCCGGGGTGGGGAGTGTGTTCCACAGGGCAGGGGCAACAGCAGAGAAAGCTCTCTTCCTGGACCCTGCCAGTTGGAATTCTTTGGCTGACTGGGTCTGCAACATACCTTCCCTGCCTGATCGGGTGGGACGGGCTGATGTAACGGGACAAAGATGGTTCCATAGGTAACCTGGCCCCATGCCATGCAGTGCTTTAAAGGTCATAACCAACACCTTGAATTGGATCCAGAAGCAGACTGGTACCCAATACAGCCTGCACAGCAGAGGAGTTACATGTACCGTTCTTTGGGCGCCCAAGATAGCCCATGCGGCCACATTTTGTACCAGCTGAAGCTCCCAGATACTTTCCAAGGGTAGCCCCACATAGAGCGCATTGTAATAATATAAATGGGAGATGACCAGGGCATGAATGACTGAGCGGAGAGCCTCCTTATCCAGGAAAGGGCGTAACTGGTGCACAACATGAAGTTGAGCAAAGGCCGTCCTAGTCATGACTGCTGCTCTTTGAGCAGGAGCCATGAGTCTAGAAGGACCCCCAGATTTCGCACTGGGGCTGTCTGCGGTAGTGCAACCCCACCCACGACCAAAGTTGATAAAATCCCAGATGCAGAGGTGCCCCTTACGCACAGCCACGCCATCTTAGCCAGGGTTCAGTTGAAGTCTGTTCTCCCCCATCCAGGCCCCCACAGCCTCTAGGCACTGCAAAAGAATGTCCACGGCATCAGTCACTTTACCCGGGATGGAGATGTACAACTGGGTATCATCAGCATACTGGTGATACCTCATCCCATTGTGACGGATGATCTCACTCAACTCAGCAGTTTCATGTAGATGTTAAAAAGGAGCAGAGAAAGCATTGAGCTCTGCAGCACCCCACAAAGCAGGGGCTGTGACCTGGACCTCTCACTCCTGATCAACACTGATTGGGACTGACTCCTGCCCAAAGAGCATGTGGCAGTTGCAGCTAGAACAGCCTTTGCAAGACTTCACATTGTGCAACAGTTGCAGTCTTTCCTGGATCACGAGTCCCTACGCTCAGTCATTTAAGTCCTGGTCATCTCACATCTGGACTACTGAAATGTGCTGTACATGAGACTACCCTTGAAGAGCATTTGGAGGCTTCAACTGGTGCAGAGTGTGGCGGCATGGGCAGTTCTTGGGTCCCTAGGGTGACCTATGTTACACCACTGCTCTGTGAGCTGCGTTTTGCTTCTGGGTGCAATTCAAGGTGTTGGTTATTACCTATAAAGCCCTGCATGGCATGGGTCCAGGTTACTTGAGGAACCATCTCACCCACTATGGGACTGGCCCACCCCACCCATGCCAGCAGAGGCGGCATGCTGCGGATCCCATCAGTCAAGGAATTCCAGCTGGCAGAGTCCAGGAGAAGAGCCTTCTCTGCTATGGCCCCAGCCCTTTGGAACATCTTGCCCCTGAGGTGAGATTGGCTCCATCGTGACCTTCTGCAAGAGCCTGAAGATCTGGCTCTGCCAGTTGTCTTGGGGACCTAATGGGGGAGCACCACGCTGGAGGGGGTTGATCGACGAATAACAGCTCCCACCTCCCCCCCCCGTACATTCTGCTCCTTTCCTCCCCATCTTTTAGTCTTAGTTATATAATCTGTATTTTCATTGTGATTTTATATATTGGTATATATATTTATGGTTTTGTTTTGATGTTTGTAAGCCACCCAGAGTCTCCTTGCAGAGAGATGGGCGGCAAACAAATTTAATAAACAAACAAATAAATGGAGGCCATGGACTCCCCAGCCACGTTGGAGGTCCGCCCCAGGGACAGCAAGTTGAAGTCTCCCACCACCATGAGTGTGGGGAACTGCACCACCAACCCTGAGACAGCCTCCAGCAGCTCAGGCAGGGAAGTTTTTATGCAGAAGGGACGTTGGTACAATAGCAACAATTCCAACTGCTTCTGTGAGCCTAACTTCAGGAACAAGGTCTCACAACCGGCAACTTGTGGAACAGAGCCCCTGATGGCTACCAGAGATTCCCAGATGACAACTGTTACCCCTCCTCCCCTGCCTTGGGTTCTTGGATGGTGCCAGACCCTAAACCCAGCTGGGCATATTTCAGAGAGGGCAACCTCTCCCCCCTCTGATCCCACATTATTATTATATACACAACAATGTGAAATCACAGCTGCTAGTTCTTTAGCTGATGTTGGCCTTCATACACACTAAGTTCTTTCCAAGAACCTAGGATATTATAATGTATTGGCACAGTATATGTGTGAATCCAAGCAGTATGGCTTTTTTAATTGACAGATGGAAAATGCTGTCAATGTGCAGATTTTCTAAGTCATTACAAGAGTTTTTGGTGTCCGTAGAGCGAGTGTGCCGAAAATCACTAGGACCACCACAGTCAATTTATGCCATAATCTTTCAACGTTGATTTGCAGATCTTATACTTTGTGATCTTCTCTAATTCTTTGTCTTCTATTCTACTTCACACTTTCATCTTTTAAACCACAGTTAAATCTGGTGTGTTATATGAGGCAAGACATTATCAGTTTGTATTAGGAAATTCCACAATATAACCTACTCATTTTCAACTACTTTTTCAACTCTTATGTTCCAAAATTAAGCTTTCAGTTTAACACTCCAGTTGTAAGCCACTGTGAGGTTTTTTCTTTATCCACTTTCCCCTCAATCTTTTGGAAAAAATTGACCATGTAATGGTTTTCCTTGCCAGCATTGTTTGTATTTTTATTGCATTATTTCAGTATTCATGTTTTGTTTCTTGTACATTCAGTAAGTTCCAATTTTTATCTTGCATCAATGCTTATTCTTGGCTTTTACATAATCGGCCGATATACTCTATCAATATCACTATGGGGATGTAATGCATAGTGAATAGTCATCAGGGTTTTTTTTGTAATGCAGTCCAAACTGTCCACTTCAGCTTGTGTCCAGTTAATTATTCCAGTAGATATTGTATCACAGGTATGACACAGGTGTTCATGCCTTTGATTGTGTTTACACTGTTCAATTTTGTCTTTGGTGATTTTTTTCACTCTTTGGATGTATTCTTTACTAATCACATTTTAACTTGTCCATGCTTGATGTTATCCAACTATAAAGTGACCAGATATTTGTAGGCTTCATCCTGGTGGCTCCTGATGGTTTGACTATTCAGCATTTCAATTCCATTACTATTTGTGATTTTACCCCAATTACTGCTGTAGCACTTTTCTCTAGGCCAAATTCCAACTGCTATATCAGTGCTAAAAATTCTTACAGTATTTAGCAATAACTGGATTTTGATTTCTGATTTTTGATAAAGTTTCAGATCATCCATATAAAGCAAGTGTGAAATTTTATTAGCATTTTTTGCTGTTTGATAGTCAAGATTTGTTTTCTTCAAAATCACCAAAAGCCGGAACACAGCAGTGACAAATAATAAGGGTGATACTGAGTCACTCTGGAAGATGCCTCTCCTAATGTTGACAAGCCCATATTTTTCATTTCCAGCCACCAATTTTGTTCTCTACTGCTTATTTTTTTCTATACACATTCTACAGGTAGTCCTTGACTTACAACCACAATTGAGACCAAAATTGCCATTGCTAAGCAAGACGGTTAAGTGAGTTTTGCCCCATTTTATGACCTTTCTTGCCACAGTTGTTAAATGAATCATTTCAGTTGTTAAGTTAGTAACACAGTTGTAAAATGAATATGGGTTCCCTATTGACTTTGCTTGTCAGATGGTCGCAAAAGGTGATCACATGACCCCAGGACACTGCAACCGTTATAAATATGAGCCAGGTGCCAAGTGTCCAAAGTTTGATCACATGACCATGGGGATGCTGCAATGGTAGTAAGTGTGAAAATCAGTCATAAGTCACTTTTTTCAGTGCTGTTGTAACTTCGAACTGTCACCAAACACATGGTTGTAAATCGAGGACTACCTGGAATGTTTTTACTGACACGTTATCTTCAAACATTTAATGGTCCAACTATGTGGTCTATTATTTTTGTTATTACTACAGTAATTATCTGAAACAATTAAGGGTACCCAATTATGCAGGGTATGGGAATATAACATTCAAAACAAATTGAGCTGGTTATAACTCACCTTTTCTATAAGTAGCTTCTTGCTCATTGTTGCACACCTATTTAACCGTTCTTTGTACTTCTCAAGCACTTTCTGTTGTTCATCTACCTGTCGTCTTAAGTCACAGTTTGCCTGAAAATAATAATACGAAGCAGGTGAACAAAACAGAAACTATTCACCATTAGTTACAATTCAGTAACTTGTACTGATAAGGAGAAAAAAAAATAAAGCTATCAGAGTTACCAAATGCAACAAAAAGCATACTCATGCACACAAGCAACAAATTTGGATTTACCATTTACTTCAGTTGTTTGAATCTCAAGGAGGAGATTTATACCTCCTAGAGCAAGTAGGACAGGTCCATTTTATAATTGCCTCTCCAGACTGAAGAGCCATCTTGGCTCCCATCCTGGACTGGAGAATCAATGCAACCTTTCAACCCAGCACTATTATTTCTTTTAGATAGATTTATATTTAACAACTATAAACTCTAAAAGAAACCAGAAGACATACATTTAAAAACCATTACTGGCAACACTGAAGAAAAAAAACAAGATAAATATCCAGGTCAGCCCATAATGCCTTGTTTACCATTCCTCTTCCATAGCAATAGCATAACTGCTTAGACTTTTAAGACTGAAGCACTTAAATCACAGAAATAAAAATATAACACCCCTCCCCATTTTAAAATCTGATTCTAGAAGAGGAGTGGTGGGTTTACATGCTTCTTGTGAGGTTCAGAGAACAGTTTTAGATGCTACTAGACAACACATAACCTGTTGGGCCATTTCAGAGATAGTTCCCAACCTATACAGAAAAACAGAATGACCAAGAGCAAAAAAGCAGTGGAGGCAACTTTCCACTTCCTGCTGGTTTGACTGCAGCTGACCACCCTGACAGCCAATGGTAGGACTTGTCTACCTGGCCTCTGAAGGGCTAGGGTGGGACCTGTCTATTGAACCTGTGGATGGCAATGCGGTGGCATAGCACCGCAGCAGCAATGAAGCAGCCACAAATTTGCCAAATTTCAATACCATGGGAGTTGTGGGTCCCAGATTTTGGATGCATTCTGTAACTTAGCTCATTTGAGGTACCTTGGTTCAAAAAATTGTTGGTCTATGATGCATTGTTTCACCCAATTCAAGGTTATAGTCAAAGAGACATGAGAGTTTTATAGTATATAGAAATCTAAATTTCCACATTTTCTTGAGCATCACAGACAGTATTTTATATCTTGGGGTATATCAGAACAGTAGACCAAAGAGATGCCTACCAAAGATCAGTATTTCTGCTTTACTGTTCTTTGCAGGAAGTAAGCCAAATGTTACTGCTGAACTTAATTTACCGATTTTATACAGACTACGAAAAGTGTGCATTTCTGAAGTAAATGTTGACTTCACATACCAAAATCACTTTTGATCAGGAAAATTATCTCAAAAGCCTCCTCCCCCAAGATGGCTGCTGAACAGTAGGAACTTTTCTTTCTCTTGCCAACGATCTGCTGATTTTGCTGCCAAAGCTGGTTCTTTGGCAGTGCTGCTCCCTGGATTTGAATGGGAGCACTTAGGAATGACCCAAGATGGCTTTCTGACAGTCATGGACCCACCCAGAAAGAGGAATCTTGAAGATTGCAGTTCCCTGTGAGAGTAGTCAGAAAGTCACCAGTCACCTATCTTTCCACTTGGCAGTTCGTTTTCCTAAGGATGCCTAGGTTTTAACTTCACTTTTTGAAGCTTCTGATTCACTTTGCTCTTTATCTTTAAAAGTTGACTGGCTGGTTGAATGCTGATCTATTTTAACCCCCTGCTGGACTTTACCTGTTTTTTTCCCTTTTGTTTTTATGTTGTTGTTCTGAATAACTTTTGCTTTTCCGTAAGAAAATCACGGCAAGTTCCTGGGTGGTGAAAGTGTTTTCACTTGATTTATAGCTATACTGGACTCTCACCACAGGGATTTTGCATTGTATTAATTTGCAAAACTTCAGAGCTTTTTTTTATTTTTCTTTAATTTTGGATCAAAATATCCACAAAATATCTTCTCTGCTTCACTATTTTTTTTTACTCTGAGAAATATTACTTCAATGTTCTCTGTTTTCTGTGTTCTCTTATCTACCATTGCTAAGTTACACAGAGCAACAATGTATTAGATTACAAACAAGCAAATGTGGCTGGCAACTGAAGAAAGACCGTTTAATAATAATAATAATCTATATAAATAAAAATGTAAATGTTCGTTTGTTCAAAATCTTAAATCTCTGAAAGTTCTTCACCGATTGCTTTGAAATTTTGACACAACGTTGCATTCGAATACGCGCGTGTTTTTATATACCTACTATTATATAAATGTCACACCTGTGACAGGTAAAAACATGCTCTTTAAAGCATAAAAACATGCTTTAATGAGCAACGTCGTAGAAGCAACAATCTTGACAGGACCTTTCAAAGGTGAAGATGTCCTCATTCCTCGCATTCCTATGATTCCAACGGATATGCCATTTCAATTTAAGAGATTGCAATTCCCAATTCGATTGGCGTTTGCAATNCTTGTCCTTTTTATCTTTCAATTGATCAGAGAGTTCTTTATGCAGCCATGCTGGTTTCTTTTGAGAGCTGTTATTTTTCCTCTTTGTTGGTATTGTGCTAGACTGGGCCTTTATTATCTCACTTTTCAAAATTTCCCAAGCCTCTTGAGTTGTTTTCCCCTGGAGGATTCTCATCCATGGAATTCTTCCCAAACCCTCTGTAAGTTTATTGAAATTAGCTCTCTTGAAGTCCAAGACTCTAGTTTGACTGTGTTCTATTGCTTGTTCTTCCATAATGTTGAATTCCAATATTGCATGATCACTTCCTCCCAAGGTTCCTATGGCTTCAACACCTTCTATCATTTCATCTCTGTTAGTGAGAATTAGATCCAAAATGGCTAATCCCCTAGTTCCCTTCTCTACTTTTTGGGAGACAAAGTTGTCTGCTAGGTTTGTCAGGAATCTGTTTGATCTTCCACTTGGTGCAGATGTTGAGACTCTAGAAAGAGTACAGAGAAGAGCAACAAAGATGATTAGAGGACTGGAGTCTAAAGCATATAAGGAACGGCTGCTGGAATTGGGTGTGTCTAGTTTAATGAAGAGAAGGACAAGGAGGGACATGATAACAGTGTTCCAATATCTCAGGGGCTGCCACAAAGAAGAGGGAGTCAAGCTATTCTCCAAGGCACCTGAAGGCAGGACAAGAAGCAACGGATGGAAACTAATGAAGGAGAGAAGCAACCTAGAACTAAGGAGAAACTTCCTGACAGTCAGAACAATTAACCAGTGGAACAACCTGCCTCCAGAAGCGGTGAATGCTCCAACACTGGAAGTTTTTAAGAAGAAACTGGACAGTCATTTGTCTGAAATGGTATAGGGTTTCCTGCCTGAGCAGGGGGTTGGACTAGATTAGGGCTTTTCAACCTTTTCACCGACTGTACCACTTTTAGGCTATGGCAATATTTGAGTACCACCTAGCAAGGTGTCAAAAACTTGATGACCAAAAAAAACAAAAAACCTGTTCAAAGTTGCAATTGCACTGAAATGACTTATGACCATTTTTCACACTTATGACCATTGCAGCATGCCCAGGGTCATGTGATTTATATTTGGATGCTTGGCAACGGATTCAGATTTATGATGATTACAGTGTTCCAGGGTCATATGATCCCTTTTTGCAACCTTTTGACAAGCAAAGTCAATGGCAGGGCTGCTAGTGGCCAAGTGCTAAGGCGGGACTTCCTTCCTTCCCTCCCTCCCTCCTTCCCTGCCTCCCTCTTTCTGATGCCCACCTCCTTCTGCAGGAAGAATTTGAACACCCCCCCCCCCTATTTTCCCTCTTCCATATAGTCATCAAACAAGGAAAAGCCTCCAGAGACAGAAAAGTGAAGCTGCTGAGGGAACTAGTTTAAAAAGGCACATTCCCCTTTAAGAATTAGCTACTGGCTAGAAAGGAAAGTTAATGAGTGCAGCCGGCACTTAAGGAAGAAAAAAAATGTAGTAAGTATTGGCTGCCGGCTAAGGCAGCCTCCCCAAATGGCTCCATTCA